CTCCCACCTCCCCTCCTCTCCCCCCCCTCCCCTCCCGCCCGGACACTTCTCACACACACCGGCTGCGTCTAGACTGGCAAGTTTTTCCACAAAAGCATGTGCTTTTGCGGAAAAACTTGCCAACGGTCTACATTGGCCGCTTGAATTTCCGCAAGAACACTGACTTCCTACTGTCTGAAATCAGTGCTGCTTGCGGAAATGCTATGCTGCTCCTGTTGGGGCAAAAGCCCTCTTGCGCAAATACTTTTGCACAAGAGGGCCAGTGTAGACAATGTGGTATTGTTTTGCACAAAAAAGACCTGATCGCAAAAATGGCGATCAGGACTTTCTTGTGCAAAACAGCGTGTAGATTGGCACGGATGCTTTTCCGCAAAAAGTGCTTTTACGGAAAAGCGTTTGTGCCAATCTAGATGCTCTTTTCTGCCAATGCTTTTAACGGAAAAGTTTTCCGTTAAAAGCATTTGTGGAAAATCATGCCAGTCTAGACGTAGCCACCTAGTTTGGGAACCTGTGATAAATGAGGCTAATAGAGTGGGCGATAAGTACCCAGTGCTTAGCTTTTTGTGTTAGGGTATAGAATGTTGTGGCCCATCCAAGTCAGGTCTTTGTTCAGACCTTGATTACAGGTGTCAAGCTTGTGAATGAAACCAAGTTCTGCAGCGCTTCTCTCAAGCTGGTTTGTGAAATTGGCTTGTAATAATATAGTAACTTAGAGATCCGTTAATTAGTGCCCAGTCAAGTTAAAATGTTCCCCAGCAGGTTTCTGTGTGTTACCTTTTTGAATATCTGATTTGTGTCCATTAATCCTTTGTCATAGAGACTGTCCAGTTTGGCAAATGTGCATGGCAGAGGGGCATTGCTGGCACTTTATGGCAGAGAACCATAGATCACAGTGGGGGATGTGCTGTGGTATGAGCTTCGGATGTGGTGGCTTGTGGTTAGGTCATGTGACAACCCCTAATCTGAAACACACTCTTCTTAGCAATCATGCTCACTCAAGAATCCACCCATGCAATCAGTGTTGTGCCAACCCTGTCCCCGTTATCTATACAAGCAACATCATCACAGGACCCAACAACATAAGCCACCACCTTTGATGTGCACTGTACATATGCTGTGTCCCCAGCCTAAGGTAGGCGATGCTTAACGTCAGGAAAGGCAGGAGACAAGACAAAAGGGATAACTTTAAATTTTTAGAATTTAAAAGGGAAAACCCAAAATTGTAGTAGGCAAATACGTAGCTGACCCCCTCTAAAATGTTGCATTCTGGTCTGGCAACTTCCATTGTCCAGCATGATTTTGGTGAGCCAGATGTCTAACTAAAGACAGAATTATTTTCCTACTACAGATTGGGCCTCTGTAGTCCAGCACTCCTTGGTCTGGCAAGATTTTAGTTAGCCAAATGTCCATTTACCACAGGTGTTGACAAGTTTTTTTTTCCCAGTCTCATAATGACTGTTTACAGCAACCAGTCCTAGCTCTCAGTAATCTGTGCTGATATTTAGCTCTAATTTACTCCTAAATGTTTCTTAGGAGCCCAGTAAGCAGTAGAAGTGTTGGTAGCATTGCTAGACAATATACTTACTACTTTAGGGATGTTAAATTGATGACTCTTAATACATTTAAAAAGCAGAGGTGCAGCGTCTGTAACAGAGCATGAGCTGGGAAATCAGCTAATTCCTGGCTTGCGCCTGGTCCCAGTTACATCTCTGCCTCCTCTGCCCCCAACAGTTCTGGGGGGGAACCAGATTTTAATTCGACCCCCCTGTTGTTAGCCATAAGTTAATAAACATAAACCTTTGAGCTTTTACTCACTTCCTTACTTTGTACAATTAACACCAAATATATCATTATTAACAAGAACAAAACCTCTCCTTCATTGTCCAGCTCTACTTCTGCTGTCTTATCCTTTGCTTAACTCTTCACCTTGTCATTCTTTATTTCTCCATTATGTGCCTTTGAACTGTATGCTTTCAGTAGATATTCAGATAAATCTTCTCTGTTCACTTCTTTTAGATCCTTTTGAAGAGGGTCTCCTCATTTACTGTTTTCAACACAACTATTTGATCCATTCTCTTTTCACCAATTATATTTCCTTTCATTTTTTTCTGCTTGATACGTTCTCTTCAGTACATTAGTACATTTTATTTTCCTCTAAATCCATTCTCTAGTAGTGTCTGCTCTCATATACTCAATTCTATTTTTTTTGCTTCTTCTGACCTGAAACCGTTTGTTTTTTCTCATTTTTTTCTCACTACTTCTACTTTTAATGCTTTTAACGGAAAAGTTTTCCGTTAAAAGCATTTGTGGAAAATCATGCCAGTCTAGACGTAGCCACCTAGTTTGGGAACCTGTGATAAATGAGGCTAATAGAGTGGGCGATAAGTACCCAGTGCTTAGCTTTTTGTGTTAGGGTATAGAATGTTGTGGCCCATCCAAGTCAGGTCTTTGTTCAGACCTTGATTACAGGTGTCAAGCTTGTGAATGAAACCAAGTTCTGCAGCGCTTCTCTCAAGCTGGTTTGTGAAATTGGCTTGTAATAATATAGTAACTTAGAGATCCGTTAATTAGTGCCCAGTCAAGTTAAAATGTTCCCCAGCAGGTTTCTGTGTGTTACCTTTTTGAATATCTGACTTGTGTCCATTAATCCTTTGTCATAGAGACTGTCCAGTTTGGCAAATGTGCATGGCAGAGGGGCATTGCTGGCACTTTATGGCAGAGAACCATAGATCACAGTGGGGGATGTGCTGTGGTATGAGCTTCGGATGTGGTGGCTTGTGGTTAGGTCATGTGACAACCCCTAATCTGAAACACACTCTTCTTAGCAATCATGCTCACTCAAGAATCCACCCATGCAATCAGTGTTGTGCCAACCCTGTCCCCGTTATCTATACAAGCAACATCATCACAGGACCCAACAACATAAGCCACCACCTTTGATGTGCACTGTACATATGCTGTGTCCCCAGCCTAAGGTAGGCGATGCTTAACGTCAGGAAAGGCAGGAGACAAGACAAAAGGGATAACTTTAAATTTTTAGAATTTAAAAGGGAAAACCCAAAATTGTAGTAGGCAAATACGTAGCTGACCCCCTCTAAAATGTTGCATTCTGGTCTGGCAACTTCCATTGTCCAGCATGATTTTGGTGAGCCAGATGTCTAACTAAAGACAGAATTATTTTCCTACTACAGATTGGGCCTCTGTAGTCCAGCACTCCTTGGTCTGGCAAGATTTTAGTTAGCCAAATGTCCATTTACCACAGGTGTTGACAAGTTTTTTTTTCCCAGTCTCATAATGACTGTTTACAGCAACCAGTCCTAGCTCTCAGTAATCTGTGCTGATATTTAGCTCTAATTTACTCCTAAATGTTTCTTAGGAGCCCAGTAAGCAGTAGAAGTGTTGGTAGCATTGCTAGACAATATACTTACTACTTTAGGGATGTTAAATTGATGACTCTTAATACATTTAAAAAGCAGAGGTGCAGCGTCTGTAACAGAGCATGAGCTGGGAAACCCCCCCCCCCCCCCAGCATTGGCTCCTGCTCTCCCCACTCTGCTACCTCTCTCTGATAGGCAGTAGGGGGAGGAGGGAAGCAATGGTTATCGGGTAGTCAGCTAGTTCCTTAACTCTATGCTACTTGTTGTTGTTGTTGTTGTTGTTAGCCATAAGTTAATAAACATAAACCTTTGAGCTTTTACTCACTTCCTTACTTTGTACAATTAACACCAAATATATCATTATTAACAAGAACAAAACCTCTCCTTCATTGTCCAGCTCTACTTCTGCTGTCTTATCCTTTGCTTAACTCTTCACCTTGTCATTCTTTATTTCTCCATTATGTGCCTTTGAACTGTATGCTTTCAGTAGATATTCAGATAAATCTTCTCTGTTCACTTCTTTTAGATCCTTTTGAAGAGGGTCTCCTCATTTACTGTTTTCAACACAACTATTTGATCCATTCTCTTTTCACCAATTATATTTCCTTTCATTTTTTTCTGCTTGATACGTTCTCTTCAGTACATTAGTACATTTTATTTTCCTCTAAATCCATTCTCTAGTAGTGTCTGCTCTCATATACTCAATTCTATTTTTTTTGCTTCTTCTGACCTGAAACCGTTTGTTTTTTCTCTTTTTTTTCTCACTACTTCTACTTTTAGTCTACTGTTCTTTTTTTGTTACCTCACCTTATCCCAGCTTCAGTTCATCTGCTAATTCTCTCCTCCTTTTCTAACAATTTTGTCCAGCTGAGCCATTTCTGAGCCCATCCTCTGGCTTTAGCGACTTTTCTCTCCCGTTGACTGTTCCCTTCATCAAATGGTATTCCATGCTGCTGAATTGCAGATGTAGGCCTTAATAGCACCTTAGTAACTCAAAACTGCAGCAAGTGCTAGTGCTGGGACCAGGTTTAGAACATAATTTGTTCAGAACATCTTCCTTTGTAGGTTATTACAGTCTTCATTGATAATGTGTTGACATTCAAAATCTATATGAGCAGAGGAATTTCTATAATCAGAGCATAGTTAGGAACCATCATGCACAGGTGGTGGGACTAGACTTATTGGATAGTTGAGGCAGCTACTCAACTACTCACATTTTCTCTCTTCCCCCCACCCCCTTACTGCCTCTGTTTCAGAGGCAGCAAGAGGGGAGCAGGAGCCAGTGTTGGGGGAGCCAGCTTAAAAGAGGCAGCAGCAGTGGAGGGACAGGAGAGGCTGCTGCGAAGCAGTCTTTGTTCAGTGGGCCCAGACCAGGACTGCTGGGCTCTGCATTTTAAATGTGGTAGGAACCGCCCGGCTATTACTACATTTAAAAGGCAGAGCTGCAATGGGGGTAGATTCTAGACTGAGCGCCTTCCTTATCGACTAATTGTGTAGCTGGTATAAATTGTATTGACTACACAATTAGCCAGTTGCCTGCCTCTTAACATTCTTAATGCAATGTTGATGTTTTCATACATTATTTTTTCATATCTTATAATTTGCAGCAGACTGACTAGGGGAAACTCGGGGTTTGTCAAGTTAACTATTTTTACATTTGCTTTTTATATTGATATCTTTGGGGAAGGTGTTAGGAATTTTTGAGTGAAATTTAACTTCAGACTGGCAAGTCTTTATCTTCTGTGTTAATACTCAAGAAGCATTAATATATATATTTTTTTCTTTTAAGCCATCTTTCTTTTTGCAGTTTGCTTACTGGCACAACAGAATCTGCAACCTGCTAGAATAGTTGAACGCACTCCAGCTGGGGATGGAGGTGGGTGTGAGGGGTTCTGATAACAGGAAAGAGAGTGAGATAAATATGATAGCAAGAGGTAGTATGTGATCTTTGTAGTTTGGAGTGAAAAGAGTGCAATGGTAAGCACAAACCTGAAATATCAATAAAGAGGAGAATGAGTTGGCTAGACAGAGCTATAAATATGAAGAACCTCATTTTAACTTTGCCTACTCTTCCCAACTACATTGTGCTACAGGCAGTCCCCGGGTTACGTACAAGATAGGGACTGTAGGTTTGTTCTTAAGTTGAATCTGTATGTAAGTCGGAACTGGCGTCCAGATTCAGCTGCTGCTGAAACTGACCGCCAGTTCTGACTTACATACAGATTCAACTTAAGAACCCCAAGTCCCCAAGTCAGAGCTGCTGCTGAAACTGATCAGTGTCTGATTCCAGGAAGCCCGGGACAGAGCACCTGTGCCTCGGACTTCCTGTAGTCAGCGCTGGTCAGTTTCAGCAGCAGCTAACTCGGGGACGCCTGGGGCAGAGCTCGCCCCGGAGCCCACAGCCAGCGGCACTGCCCAGAGCGCAGCGGTCCTGCCACCTCGACCTCCGGGGCAAGAAAAGCTGCTCCCGGTGCCCCTAGTCTGCTGGGGACCGTCTCCAGCAGACCAGGGACACCTGGAGCAAAGCCAGGGAGGCGGAGGGGTCCCGCGCCTCTGAGGCTTTGCTCTGTCAAAGCCAGGGAGGCGCGGGATTCCGCCGCCTGTGCGGCTTTGCTCCCGATGTCCCTGGTCTGCTGGAGACGGTCCCCAGCAGACCAGGGGCAGGGAGCAGCTTTTCTTGCCCCGGAGGTCGAGGTGGCGGACCGCTGCCTGCGAGCTCCGGGGCGAGAGAGCCCCGTTCGTAAGTGTGGATCCGACATAAGTCGGATCCGCATAAGTTGGGGATTGCCTGTATTGTCAAAACAGGCCCCTAGGAAAGTGTGGGGCTGTGCCTCAGTTTACCATATTTTGCTTTTAAAACATTTGAAAAAGAACTCAGCCAAAGCATAAGGACTTTCACTTTTCACTCAAAGTAGGAACATTTTAAAAGTGGTGGCTAGAGACAGCATGATCTACCAAACTGAAATACATGTAAACTAGATAGAAATGGTTCTAAAAGCAAGTTTAAAATCCATTTATATTTTATTCAGGGTGCCATAGCGACCTAATTGTTATCTTAATGATTTTTTGTAAAATAGTTATAGAATTATGAATTTCTTGCTAACCAGCAAAGTAGGTTGCTTTAAAAAGCTTCTCAAAATCTATGTCCAATTTTTTTCTAGGGTGAAAGGTTCTGATGCATCATGGAAGAATGACCAAGAACCACCACCTGAGGTAAGTTTTAGTGGATCACTTGGTTTTCACTTTGAATTTGCCTTTAGTGTCTGTGTATCTCAGTTAGGGATGCAAAAATCCTGTTTAAGATTTTAACTGGTTAAATGATATGTTTAATTGGTTGACTGGCTTGCTGCTCTGGGCTGGGGCTGCTCTAGCCGGGCAGGGTCCACCATACTATAATGCTTATGGCAATGCTTATCGGATAACTGGTTAATCAAGTACCCCTTTATATTTTAATCTCATCCTGGGTTTGACATGGTTTGGGCTACCTCCAAAATATAGACTTACTGTAGCCTGTTACAACAGCTTGGTCCACTCTTGCTTCTTGTCTATAGCCAAGAAAGCAGACAAATGATATCACACATTTTTGCAGTGATTTCATATTTTTGTACTCACCTTGTATGTAATTCATTGGCCATCACTGCTGTTAGTAGCAGGTTGAGGTCTGGACACATGTTCTGGGATGCTGATAGGGGAAGAAGAATGGTCTCCTTTTTTCCCCTCCTGGTAATAAGGTGTCAAATTAACAAGCTGTTATAGCCTGTTATAAATTCCACCTGTGATTGCACTGTGTTGGCAGGATTTATTGATGATTAAAACAAACTGGCAAATGCAATCCTAACAGGGTCAGATTGGGGCAAAGCTGTGTTTGTGTGTTTCATTTGACACCTTGAACTCTTGTTAGAGCATTGGCTTCTACTGTTACTTTGACAAAACATGCTTAGCTTTGTTCCTCCTCCTTTAACTTTGGATACTAGAATATCTCCTCTTTGAGGGAGTTGGTATTTATATTGTACAAGAACTACAGGAGATAAGATCAAGCATCTGCTCTTTGGGTTTGGTTCCTTCAATTAAGGAGAGACCTTTTACTCCTCCTTTCCGTTATCATAGTAGCATCTGCAGTAATTTTCAGCTTTGTTTGTCATCAGATCAAATACATCAACAGCATCAGCAGGGTATGTCGTTCCAGAGTCCGAACAAAGTGTGTGTGTGTGTGTGTGTGTGTGTAAATTATTACTAGCAAAGGCGCACTAGTAAGCTACATTTAGTGCAGGGCCAAATAGATGTTAAATGCCTTTGTCCCAGAAGATGGTCTGACCTGGAAACCACCATATCTGTCACCGGCAGATTTTTCCAGTCCGAAATAAACACAGATTCCAATATCCAATTTAAGAGAGATGTATTGTATACAACAGATAACAGCATAAGAATAAACCCAGAACAGAACACTGTAAAAGAAAACCAACCCCTCACCCTCTGAAATAATAGGGAATAGCACAGTTAACAAGAGAACATAAACTATACTCAGTCTGTCTAAGATGGAGGCGACAGCTGAGGCTCAGGACCCGCTACTCGTTGGCTGCTTGACAGCCTCAAAGAAGGAACACTGAGGAGTCCAAATGTGTTACTCTGTGGACGCAGGTAGCTGTGGTCCACCGTACTGGGCAATCACCACAGTGGTGGGCCAAAGCATCCTGTGAGCAGCTGGAGATAGTGATCCGTCCCACAGTAGATCCCGGGCCTTCACTACGGTCTCAGGAACGGCAGGCTGCTGTAGTAGTGAGGCAGATGAACAAACCGAACCAAACAAATGAGCAGAGATGGAACAGAACCCAATCTCCTCTGGAGCTTGAGTTTATAAAGGTCCCAAAGCAGGAAAACCACTGGAGTGTCTCTAGTGCACAAAATGGTGTTGGGTGCAAACAAATCAGTGCTGGGTGCAGATCTTCGCACTGTGTGCAACACTGTGGTGCAGTGTGCACAGCCATGTGCAGATGTTAAGTTTTGTCGGCAAAAGTGTCTCTGTTCCTTTGGGTTCCATTTTAAATGTCCTTCAGTCCATAAACTCCATTTTGAGTTCTTATGTCCTTATAATTATAATGTCCCAGATCTTGATTTACAATTGACAGGCAACAAAATCAAGGCCTAAATTTAGCCAGGACTATTCAACAGGTGGCCCGTGGGCCACATGTGGGCCGCAGCCCATTTCTTTGTGGCCCATAGTGCAGTTTGGGTTTATACAGGGCTCAACATGCAGAAAGCAGGTGGGAGTCAGAACAAAAAAGTAGTCAATATAATGGTCTTCTGTTGATATGTGTTTTAATAGTTAAATCGCGGATTGTCATTGCTCATTGAAAGTGCTGTGATGGGTGGACATTGGGTAAATATTGTATTTTTATTATCAGTAGAACTGACTTAAATAGGGCCTGTGTGTTGTGTAGTTTTGCCTTTTCCCATCAGCGTGAAATAAGCTATTTGCGTGTCTATGCAATCACACTTAAGTTGCAGCCCTCGGCATGTGCTGAGAGTATCATTTTGGGCCTCAGAGCTTCCTGAGTTGAGTAGCCCTGATCTAAGCAGTCTGCTACCTTGCCGCCATTTTGTTGCACACGAAACGTGAGATGTGATGTGAAAATTAAGGAACTGAGACCAGAACCAGGTATAACAGCAGGGTTCCTTCATTTCCTCAGCTGGGGATAGCTAAACCATTTTATCAGCAAACTAAAGAAATATATCTTAGACGTTATAGAAAAGACCTATGCCATTCAGTTTGTAAAACTTTTTCTTCTGCCCTTCTCTTCAAACTGTCTCATGAGGCCATTCTATTTTAGAAGTTTAGTTACTTTGACTTCCGTAGGGAAGGTAACCAAATACCTGAGGGGTCAGAAGTTTTATTGAATTTGCTTTACTGTACAGAAGAATAGTGTTTTATCCAATTTTAGAGCTAAAATACCAGAACTATTCAGAAGTTTCAGTTCTGTATGTTAACTCTTGTCTCCATAATCTCTTCACTTTCTGTCATGGATTGGTTCATGACTCTCAGTTTAAGGGACACTTCTCCATAAATTTATTGAACCGTATTATTGTGGTAGCAAAATGACATTTCTAGGATAAGGTGCTGCTCTTTGGCCTGCCTGCAGCATCAAGAGTTTTTGCAAAATTCTTCTCTGAGATAGCAGTTCAATTGAGAATTCAGGATATTTCTGTTTACTCCTATTTTGATTGGCCATTTGCAAGGATCTACTAAGCCACGTTACTTTTATAATCACCCTTTTCTCAAACATGGGACAACTGCTGAATGTTAGTCAAATCTCTCTCCAACTCACAATCTTGTTCTTAAGACTTCTTTTTTGGACTCAGTAGCATGGAGAGCCTTTGTATCAGAGGACAGAAATTTAAAATTATGTGCATTCAGATGTGTCATTCAGATACTAATCTTTCTTTGGATCTTATGACAGCTACTAATTACAAGATTTCATTTACATGCCTCACAGTGAGACCAGTACAGTATTAGATGTCTTGAGTATACAGACCAAATCTAGACACACTTCAAATATTATTTACTGTGCCTTGAAATATTTTGGACAAATTGATGTGGTAGTCATTCTCAGAGGTGTGCAGCACCATCTCCTGTAACTGCTGATAGTAGCTTGTGTCACTCATCCTAGACAGACTGGAGTATAGTTTATGATAGTAGCTTGTCACTTTTTAAATCTCAGAACAGGTAAAGATCTACCACTCCCCCGCCCCTTCCTTGAAGCCCCGCCCTCTCTATTCTCCCCCTGTCCATCACTTGCTATCCCCAACCCTTACACACTCTGATCAACAGTTTATTTTTAAATTATGCGATATATAAAATTAAAATCACGTGTTTATAGTTATGAAAGAAATGGTCTGTTTTTATTCATGCTATGTAAATCTAAAATGAAGCATTTATAATTAAACATTTATAATTAAACATAACTAATACTGGTCTTAAATTCCAAATGCTGTATAGCCAAGCTAAATCGTAAAATAAATGATACAGAGGTATTGAATGCGTTAGAATACTGGTAAATTGTCATTGAAGATCTATATTATTTAAAAGAAAGAAGTGTTTTCTTCCTACCAGTCCAGTGTTCAGCAAGCAGAGTTCTTGGCCACCAGATAGTTTTAAAATTTACTATTGTTAAACTTCTGTTTTAGAAATGTGTATATTTTTATATTCTATACTTGTGGATTGCAGACTATAGTAAGAGGCATCAAGTTAAAATGTATTGTGGGTTTTTTATTGTTTTTTGTTTTTGTTTTGCTGTTTAGTGCTATTCACAAAAAATTCTGTATGTATTGGATTATTTTTCAACTTGATTTGTTACAATGAGTACTTAACAAGCAATCTGTCCTCTGTGTAAATGGTTACTTTTTCATTACTGCCTTTAGGCAGCTGAATAATTAGAAGGATCTGATTTTTAAAGGCACTTAGGTGCCCATTGATTTCAATGTGTCTGGCCCAAGTTTTAAAGGTATTTAGGCACCTATATGCTTTTTTATTTTTCATCTGTATTAATAGTTAGTAGCTAGGGATTTGTTGGGCTGAGGAAGAGAGAAATTAATGTTTTTCCACCCCTTGATATGAGAATTTATGGTATGTGCTATGTTAGAGATTCACTTATTCTGCACAAGGGTCTAAAATCTTTATTAAGGCAAAATGCTCAGGAAAGTGGTGATTAATTACGTTGAAGTAAAAAGGTCATCAGAACAATCTCATCAGTTAGCTCCTAAGCTAGACGATACGTCAACCTCCCTTTATTACACAAACTTATTTATAATTTTCTTTTCCTATATGTTAGCCTCTAATTTCCATGTTAATTTTCCTCCTGTTAGTAAAGTCTTAAGCTTTGTCTACACTAACAAGATTTGTAGTCAAAAACTGCCTTTACTCATCAAAACAGTGAGTGTGCAAACTGCAATACAACTTTTGTCGAGGAAGAATGTACACTTTCAGTGACAAACTTGCACTCCTGTAGGAGACTAGGGATGTGAAAACCCATTTAATCAGTTAACAGCTGGGCTGGAGTGGCCACCTGTCTGGGTGGGCTCAGCCGGGCTGGAGAAGCTCTCCTTACCCCCCATGCATAGTGTGGTGGCCATGACCAGGCCTTTTAATGCTGTAGGCTGCTCTAGCCAGACTGGGTCCACCGCTGGTGGGAGCTGCTCAGGCCAGGCTTCTGGTTAACCAGTAACAGGTTAACCACTGACATCCCTGCAAGATACTTTTTTCGTTCCTCTTCGCTTTATTGTGGAGCAAGAGCCAGTATAGACAGTGCTGTTTGTTGTGTCTACAGAGCTGTGTTCCACTAGTATCGCACAATGCCTGCCCCAATTGCTCTTCTGAGGCATTTGATCTCTGCTGCCCTGCAGGCATACGGTCCTCTTACTTCATGGAACTTTGAAAGATCTGACTGCTGTGTGTGTTGCTCCCTTTTGGGAACAAACATAGAACAAATGATTGTACTGCTTCTGTTCCGCCCTGCACTAGGAACACAGCAGCAGGCAGAGTGCTGCTTCAGTGGGAGGAGGAATGGACATCTGTTCTGCTTTCACATTCCACAAAAGGAGAACTTATAGCAGTTGAGGAGGCTGTGGGAGAATTCAGAGGGAATCTCAAGATGTGATCAGCTCTGCCTTCTCACAACACTGCACTCAGATACATACCCACAATATATTGTTCATAGTGGTGCTCTTGGGTGTGGACATGATCTGTCAACATAGGAAGCAAGTGTGAACACCCTCTGGTGACTTTGTTTTGTAGAGTTTTGGATGTCGACTTAAGTTTTGTCAACCAAACTTGGGTAGTGTAGACCTAGCCTTAGAGTTACTTCAAGCTGGTCTTTTTCTAGCTTTCTTAGTAACTTAATCTGTTTTCTCTCTTTTTAACAATATCACTGCAATTTCTTACACATGCACTGTTCTATTTGTTCTTACACACTTAAGCACTGGCTCCTAAATTTTCATGCAGAGCCGCAGTGGTGATAGTTGCCAGACCCAGCACAAGCCGTTACTGAGTGTTTGCAGTGTTACCCTTATCGATTAATTGTGTAGTCGACAACATTTTTGTCAACTACATGATTAATGAATTACATGCTTCTTAACATCCCTACTTCTAATAAATAAAGATCTATTACAGGCAGCATTGAGTAGCTACTGACAACACTACATGTAGGTTTATATACACATATTATCACATCCCAAAAACTAAGTTAAGAAAATTGCTGTTGAAAGTTAAGTATTTTGTCAGGCAAATTAAGAATTCAGAAGCTAGGAAATGATAGAATTATGGTTATGCATCTCTAATTTAGATCCTTTGTACATGTGCATTATGATACAATTTGTAGTAACTTGACCACACTATTTTCCAAAGGACCTCTGTAAGGCATTCTAACAGTTAAAATGTTTACTTTTAGGTTTATAACAACTTTTTGGTGATTTATCTAATATCTTTTTGTAATTTTCTAAGGCCTTAGATTTCAGTGATGATGAAATGGAGAGACAGGCAAAACAGAAGAAAAAGAAACCTCAGAATCAAGAAAGAAAGAAACCCAGATCAGAAATGAATGAATCAAGTGAGTAAATACCATACAGAAAATAAAAATGTTCTAACTTCTGCCTTTCAAATCACATCTGAAAAGCAGTGATCAATTTTTCTTTGCATTTCATACTTCTTTAATATTGGGACTTCAGTACAATTTATCAAACATATCAATTTTTTTAAAAGTTGTAATTAAACTCATGAGGGCATCTCCCTTAAATTTGGAATATTTGATACAGATGAGCACTAAGTTTTGAGGAGTTTTTTGCTAAATGATCACCTTTTTCTCTGCAGCTATACATCACTTATAAAGTATTAGTGATATGTATGATGAATTTTCTAAATTGTCACTTCACCTACTATTCAATAATGGAAAAAGTATTGGATAAAGTATTGGGCTTGTTGAAACATGACTAGGGATGGAATTCATTTCTTTGCCCCAAGATGACAAGGGCTATGAATATAGTGAGGGCAGCTATGACAAACTCTTGTTGAGAAAAATTACACAATTCAGTCTATTTTCATTGCGTTTTACAGATCAGTATTATATTCTCACCAATTTTGGTCTATTGATTTTCAGTTCTACTTTTTTTTATTTGATTTTGATTTTTTAATACTGTCACTAAATTATATCAGGCCTTGTTATTGGTACTAATTAAGTCTATTTTGCTTCTGTACCATTTTCTATTAACATCTGTTTTTTTTATTCTGACTTCATATGAACATATTCACTTTTTTTAATACAGTTGAGCTTGTAACTATCTGGTAGGCTTAGCTATTACAACAATAGGTATGTCCCTAGATGACTAATGCTGAATCTTGTGAATATTTTATGACCAAATACATCCTGATAATTTTTCTTTCAGTGGCATGGTGAGTTTAAGGGTCTTTTTAATGCACATGCTTTTTAAACGATCTTCCATTGTGAATCAAAATATATTTAATTAACACTCCGTGGCTTGTGTGTTATCATAAAATCAAAATCCTAATTAAGTCACTTCTGTGTTTACTCTGATAAACTAAATAATTTAGAATTAACCTTTGATACCACAGTAAAACTCCAGTGGTCCGGCATCCTGATGGAACCCGGAAGTGCTCCGGGCAGCTGGACAATTGGAGGTCAGCAGCTGGTTAGTTTCAGCAGTGGCTGACTTGGGGAAGTCTGGGGCAGAGCAGCTGGAGTGTTGTCGGGTTGGTCCCGCAGCGCCGAGGGGAGCATGCCCCCCACTCCACCCCAGACTCCTCATAGCCCCCTCTTCCAATAGTCTGGCATATCTGATAATCCGGCATCCCCTGGGTCCTAAAGGTACCAGATTATCGGAAGTTTACTGTACTTTGCAAAAGACATGCAACATTTAAATGGTGAAATCAAGATTTGTTATATTGTGATTGATAAATTGCATAGTCAGTTGCTTGACCACACTTAGGTTTGGAATGAAGTGTATGAGATCAAATAGTTAATGTTAGTCCGGTTTACTGCTTGTACAGGATAGTATAAGAGGAAAGTTTCTAGTGTCCAGGAACCTGTTCCGTGCAATGTTGTTAAATTTAACATAGATACAAGGGATGCCCCCAAAGTTGCATGTTTTAGTTAGGCATTTTTATCATCCTATTAATACTGCAACTTACAAAACTTTGTACATCTCACTAATATCCAATCTACCAGTACGTCCCAGTTCTTCAAATTCTTGTTCTGTACTTATCCTTGTTTTGAGTGCTAGTATTCCGGATACTAGTTCATGGAGATGCCTCCGCAGCTTGTAGTAGGACAGAACATTAATGTATTCTGGGACATTTCCTGTGTTGAAACTCAAGTCAGCTTTGGCATTATCAAATGTTATAGCATACTTAGCCTATGTCAAAACAGGCACTGTAACTGACAGAAATATATATAAATATATAATATGAGAGAGCCCTGCATATGTAGGTCAACTAAGAAGCCAAAAGATAGATCAATATGATTTGATTTGACAGTTTGTTTATATAAATGATAGAGGGAAAATTATTGGGTTTTTAATAAGCTTTTTCAGCTGAATTAAAATCTGAAAACTCTTGCACAGAATCAGATCACTAATTTTATATCTTCAGTTTTACATTTTTTGTACTCATAACAAACGCTTACATTTTATTGCAAAGAAAACTTTTGGGTGAGTTATTTGTTATGGGTATCCCTGAGTAAATAATCCAATAAGTACACATGGAGGAGGAAGGTGTAAAAGTTGACATTTTAATTTTCATTCTTTCAAATCTTAGAGCCACTAAACTATTTCAGCATTGTTCCAAAACAAACACCCTCCCCATGAATGGAGTTCATTTAACAGTTTACAAATGGTAACTTATTGGTCATTTAATGAAATGTATTTACTAATTTCAGATATTCAGAAGATCTCTTAAAGTTCAAATGTGTATTTTTTCTTTATTTTTAAAACACTAAATCAGCTGATAAACACTAAACACAGCATAATCCTTGCTTTGAGTTTGAATACAGTTTGCATATTTTTATTCATATACTGTTAAGTATTAGGCTTTTTTAGGAGGAGTAGACCACCTCTTGTGAGACCGTTAGAGTAAGCTATTTTATAGTCAAAGTTCTAGAAACTGAATATTAATAGAATAAGAAATAGTAATTCTGTGGATTTTTTTTTTTTAAGGCAAGAGTAATGGAGTTCAGAATCAACCTGTGCAACAGCCTACTTCAAATTATTCAAGAGGATATTGTGGCAGAGAATTTAACTCTGGCTTCTCAAGGGATAGATTTACTCATCCATCTGTTCATCCGAGCTTTTCAAGACCACAGCTAAGACCTCCACACTCGTACTCTTCAGATCACAGGATACACCAAGAATCTGCAATGTTTCCACAGCCTCTCAGACACGGAAATCCTATGATGCCACAATATCCCTTTCCTCCTCCAGGATTTGGACCTGTTGGTAATGAGATGCATCACTTTCCACCCCCAAATCTAAACATGACGTGGACAAGGCCCAGTCTGCTCTCTAATCTGTATAATCCACCATTCCTATTCCCGCCGCCGCCGCCGCCACCACCACCACCACCACCACCTGCTTCTTCAAATGGTCAGTTTGAAACTCATAAGTATTTTCATGACTGAGTACAGTGAGCTGCATATACTGGAAACCATGTCTTTCCATCCAGAAACACATTTATAAGTAAAAGAACAGAACAAATCTGAAGTTCTAATGCTAAATAGGTACAACCTTCTGCAGCGATATCAAACATGCAAAGACTGCCTTTTTTGATAAACCCATCTTTAAAAAAACTGAAATATACTGAATGCTGATTTAACTTGATAATGTGTAGTGTTTGAAGTATCCCAAGTATTAATAAACATTATTTTTACTTTGCAACCGCCTATATGCATTTTTGTAGCAACTTTTGAGCTAGCATTTATATAAAGTATCTGATGGGGGTATGAGAGAAAATATTTGCTCTTGAGATAAAAAATAAGGATATATCGACATGGATAGCAAGATGATTGGTCCAAAAAATTTTATGAAAACAAATATAAGTTGTCGTATCTTAACTGAAGATATCATTTCTCTATTTGTTGAGAAAAATTACACAATTCATTCTATTTTCATCACGTTTTACAGATCAGCATTATATTCTTTCTAAAGAAGGCTTTGAGAGATATTGCAACCGCATGCAATATCTCGAGTGACCGTATTGTGTTAAGTTTATGAATGGTTTGTGTCACTATGGACCAGGGATTCTGTATAGCTCTACTGCAAGAGTGTTACCACAGCTCCTCAGAAATAAAAAATAGTGGGAGGGTGATTAAGGAAAATCAGTCAAGTTGTAAACGCTTCTAGAGAATTATCAGTCTCTGTGGAGGTATGTGCTGGTTCAAACTGGGTTTTTCCAAAAAGCAATAAAAGCTTTTGGTATGAAAACGATGAGTTCATAATGTCAATGGGCTTGCTTCCTGATTCAGCAAATGGACAGGGCCTCTGTCTACATGGGGCCCCAACAGTTGTGGAAGGATTGGAAAGACTTTGACTCCCTAGGAGCCCATAAAACAGATGTCTCTTGATATGCTTTTAGCATGTGTGCAGGAACACTTGTTTTTGTTTCTCTGTAATGCTTTTATCACCAGAATAAATATACTTTGCTTTTTGCAAGCTGGTTGTTAAAACAGATGTATGCACTTGTTGTCCCTGAAGAAAGGGTAACCACAGATGATAACCACAGTCAGACTTTCTAGGGAAATCACTTTGCAGAGGGACTGCAAGTCTGAAAACTTAGTGGGTGTCCTCAAGGGAGCCCAGGATGGGAAGAGGGCAAACTGCAGTTAACTTTGAAGCTATGACAGGTTAATCTCTGTCTTGTAAACATATATTGAGCCAAATTTTTCTCCCTGTGCATGAAATAATTGTAAATCTTGAGTAACTTGCTGAGTGAACCAGGAAAACCAGGTTACCAGCTACTCTGGGGACTGAATTAGACCCGCTAGGTTACCTACATTTTGAAATTAATATAAAAAGAACTGTATAAGAACAAAGCTATAGCTTAGGAACTTAAAATATACTTTACCTGGGTATATTTGGAAGTAAATCTGTTTGGATAGAAACTCAAGGGAGCCATATCATAAAATTGCCTGCATCAGAACTAGTCTCACGGTAACCCCCGGGTCAGCACCACTATGTTGCATGAAGGACACTCAACAAAATTACTGTACTTATTGATGAGGGGGGAGAGGGAGTTAAGTCATTCAATTTTGTAAAACATTACCATGGACCTAAAAATGTTTATCACGGACTTTCGTGTCCGTATATAGATGTATCTTGCTGACACCCTGGGGCAACCTATTGAGTACATCTGGCCTGGAGTGAGCTGCCTAACTGGCTACGCTGACTAGTTGGAAAGATGATCTCAAAGCCTAGCAGCAATTCATCTGCTGTTCAAATCAGTCCGCCATGGCTATGATAGCTCTTGCTCCTGCCTTAGGGTATGTCTATACTGCATGGCTATTTTGAAATACGCTATTACGGAATAGTTATTTTATTTCAGGATAGCATGTCTACACTGCAAAGAAGCCTCAAAATTAGTCCATGGCAGGCTTCCATAATGTAGATGTGCTATCTGGAGTTAGAACCCCAGGAGGTACTGGGGAAGAATAACTTAGAATGGTCCTGGTAAGGGGCTATTTCAAAATTGCAGCTGTGGAGTGTCTACACATGCCTTATTTCAAAATAGCTATTTCGGAATAGGTGTTTACAGAGTTCTGAATAATCTGTCTTATTTCAAAACTAATTTTGAAATAATGGAATGGCTGTGTAGGTGCTTGCATTATTTCGAAATAACGCTAATTATCTCGGAATAACAGTGCAGTGTAAATGCACCCTTATTGAATTAGCTTTAAAACCTTGAGTCCGTTCTATTATAATGCAATTGTGTATGTAACTTCTCTAAGCAATTGACTAATTCAGTCACTGGAAGATACTAGTAACTTCAAAGGGCCTTTTGAAACAATACATGTAAAGTGAATACTAGGATTTCCTGGGTATGGTGTAAAGGGAATGCAAAATAGCTACTTTGAATTCACCCTTTTGAAGCTATGCCCTGTGATGAAAACCCATTGTCTCTTAATTGATCTGGTGTTTCCAGAAGCATGTAAAAACCTCCAAACAGTACAAAGAGATTAGACTAAATATGTTCAGGATGTGCTTATTCTGAGTGGATCACCTTAATGGACTTTTGAGAGAAATATAAATGCTGCTGTTCTGCGCCATGACAAACTGATTAACTTCTTTTCACAAATAAGAAAACCTACTTTTGTGTTGGATTTGAACTAAGTTCTTAATTGCCTCATGAAGCCTCCATTTGAGCCACAAGCTAATTACTCTATGCTATACTTAAGAAAACAGCATTTTTGGTAGCCATAGCTTCTACCCACAGTGTTGGAGAATGTGTGGCCGTTTTTACATTTTCTTTTAAAAAAAATTTCCTTATGACCACATCTAAAATTTTTAACCCAAAAGATCCTCTTAATTTCCACATCAGTTAGGTTATAGAGTGTGTGTGTGTGTGTGTGTGTGTGTGTGTGGCTTTTTCCCCACAGCATCAAAATTCTAGGCTAGAATCTACTCTCCGTACTCTGGATGCTTGAAAGTTGTTAGCTTTATATTTGACCAGAACTGTATAGCTTAGTGTGTCTGAGACGGTTTGATTTGCCAAGAGATCAGAAAGGCTCACAATTTCCACTCAAATGTTTTCATAAATGGGTTTTTGGCTGTATCCTTACTTAAGAGTGAGTTAATGTTTAATGTCCATTAAGAATGTAACAGCTCACTTCTCTAGATCCCATTCTACCTCCATAGCATTGGTGAAAGATGTTCCAATGACTGAATTTTCCAAAGCTGGACATCTGTTCACAATTTTCAAAGCACTGTGCCCTAATACTGCCTGTAGGCCAACATCTGCTGTTGGCATCTCAGTCTTGCATCTGGCTCCAAAACTTTCCCATCCTACACATACTGCTTGGGTGTTATCCGATGTGGAGATCATAGGGACAGAACTTGGAGCGGTTACTTGCCTTGTTCTTCCATATGTAGCTTCCTGTAGGTCTTCCATTACTTGCCCTCCACTTTAGTCTCTCATCTGTGGGATTTCACGGTGGGAAAGGAACAGTGGACAGTTCACCCATGTAGCTGTATATAGCTCAGGTACTGGGCACAAGGAAATGCAGTATAAGCATAGGTCAAACAGGTACTGCTACTGAAATTCTGTGATCAAAGGTATGTAGATGGTGCACCCACAGGAGTACACACTATGAAGAGCTCCAGTTACTACAGAAGGTGAATTAGCTTTAAAACCTTGAGTCCAATATATTAGAACGCATCTGTGTATGTGTTTGTATGTAACTTCTCTAAGCAACTTTCAATCACTGGAAGACAGTAGGAATTCAAAGGGCCTTTTGGAACAATACATTTTCTTGTTCCACAAAGGAAAACTCTGTACCTGAAAGACATACATACTTAAAACTCTTTGCTGAATAGCCCTTGGCTTGCTGATCTTGTTGAATTGATTGCAGAAAGGACTTTTCTTCATCCCCATTGTTCTCTCTTCAAAAACAATACTTCCTCGAGCCTTTTGTTGTTGTTCCAATTACTAAAAAAAGTACACTGTACGGCAATGAGCAAGATGATCAAGTATTTGGAGCCCTTCCTTTATTTAGGCACCACAGAAAGAGTAGATACAGTAAACTTCCGATAATCTGGCCCCATTAGGACCCAGGGGGTGCTGGATTATTAGATATGCTGGACTATCGGAAGGGGGGGCTATGAAGGGGCTGGGGGGAGGGGGATGCCCCCAATCTCTCATAGCCCCCCCTTCCGATAGTCCAGTTCTGCCACAGGCATCCCCGATTCAGCCGCTGCTGGTCAGTTTCAGAGCAGCTGGGGTGCTGCTGGGTTGGTCCCATAGCACCTCCCCTCGGTGCTGTGGGACCAACCTGGCAGCACTCCAGCTGCTCTGCCCCAGGCTTCCCCAAGAGCAGCTTGGGTGCAGCTGTGCAGCAACGGAGCTGCCCAGCTGCTCTGCCCCCGGCTTCCCCAATTCAGCTGCTGGTCAGTTTCAGCAGAGGCTCAATCGGGGAAGCCGGGTGCAGAGCAGCTCCAATTGTCCGGCTGCCCGGAGCACTTCCGGGTTCCCGATGGTGCCGGACTATCAGGAGTGCTAGAGCATTGGATGCCGGACCAATGGAGTTTTACTATACATGGAAGTCTTTGGTTTTGGTAATTTAAAGCACAGAGTTAGCTTAACATCAAATTTAATATGCATAATTACTATAAAAAGATATTGTACTGACTGAATTGTGACTGACTTCTGTGAATTGTTTGGAGAAATTGAAAGTTGTCAGCTGCTCGACTAGCTGGTTTCTTTTGCATATTTGCCCCTCAAGACTGCATGATGGGGTAGGAGTGAAGAGAGAAGGCAACACCTAGATCCTACTTTCTTTTGGGACACATTCATACAGAGATATAAATATATATTGAAAGGATAGAGCAGGCCCTGTGGGTGGTGGAGAGGTACTGTAAGTGAAAGATAATACAGAATCAAATGAAATAAAAATATTAAATGAATCCACATGTTCAATAGAATCGCAATGGATAGTAATTCCATGCTCCAATAATAAGAAATTAGCAGTAGGGATATATTACCGACCACCTGACCAGGACAATGATACATTGAAATGCTGAGGGAGATTAGAGAGGCTACCAAAATAAAGAACTCTAATAACGGGGGATTTTAATTATCCCCATATTGACTGGATACAGATCACCTCAGAAAGAGAAGCAGAGATCAAATTTCTCAATGGCTTAAATGACTGCTTCTTGGAGTA